TGTGTGTGTGTGTGTGTGTGTGTGTGTGTGTGTGTGTGTGTGTGTGTGTAGTGTGTGTAGTGTGTGTGTGTGTGTGTGTTTGACTGATATGTATAGAAAGGATTTCCATTGAGAGCAATAAATAAGCCAGGTGTGGTGCACATCTGTCCTCCCAGCACTCGGGAGGTGGAGGCGGAAAATCTGGAATCAGAGGTCAGTCTGCTACTACTGAGTTTCCAGGCCAGCTCGAGCTACTATGTGAAACCTAGTCTAATAGAGTGGGGGAAATCTCAGCACATCTCTTTGTGTGAGGGTGTGTGGGTGTATATAAGTATGCGGAGGCTAGAGGACCCCATAGATGCTACTTCTCAGTTACCATCCGCCTTGTTGTTTTTGAAACAGGGTCTCTATTTTCACTTGTCAGCTACACACCGGTTGGTCAGAAAACTCCACCTGCATGTGTCCACCTGCATGGGGCTGGGATTACAAGCGTATACTGCCATAACCGCGCAGGTTTTTGCATGAGTTCCTGGGATAGAAGTCAGGTCCTCTCCTCTCCTGCCTGAGAGCTGCCATGTGCCTATCTAGCGGGCATCTTCCTATGTAATTGGTCCGTGAATTCCTGAGGTCACCCTGCCTCAGCCTCCTGTGCACCAGAATGGCAGGTGTATGTCACTACTCCCAGCTGTGAGCCATAAAAATCTGTAGACCTTTGAAGAAAGTGACTTTAAGGATAGAATACAGGTCAGCAAAGCCCAGTGACAAAGCTACACACACACATACACACACACACACACACACACACACACAGAGAGAGAGAGAGAGAGAGTTCCTAGCAGGGGGTGGGCATGAAGAATCAGTCACACGACCCAAGTGGGACACACCTGACAAAAATTCTCATTCTGTCCTCCCCACTGCCTATGGACAAGTTATTTGTTCTTTCTGAATCTTGCCATCCTCATCTGTAAAATGGGAACGATACTGACATCTACCCCTTTAAGGTCTTTGTAAAGAATAAATGCCACCCTGTGAACTAACCGTATACTAAGGGTCACTCAGCGCCAAGCCTAGAGTAAGCTTCCACAAGCCTGGGCCTTGGTCACCATGTTGTGAAAATTCTTACCCTGGGCACATCTGCCCCCCTTCACATTGTCCCAGAGTTCACCCTGGGGAACCAATGACTTTATTAGATCTACTTAGAAAGCATGAGTGAGGGGGTAACTGACAAGACTGTGGGGGACCCCCAAACAGTCATAGCAAGGAGTCTTTACCCAGCTTAGATGATGATTTCCCTATAATTATATAAATGGAGCCCTAGTTTAATTAACCCTCCCTAGACTATACACCCTAGGACAGTGGTTCTCAAACTTCCTGGTGCTGTGACCCTTTAATACAGTTCCTCCGTTGGGGTGACCCCCAACCATAAAGTTATTTCCATTGCTACTTCATAACCGAAATTTTGTCACTGTTATGAATCATAATGTAAATATTTTTGGAGTTAGAGGGTTGATGTGGGGGGGGTCATGACCCACAGGTTGAGAACCACTGCTCTAGCACTTTTGAGACCTCATAGACTACCCAAAGATAGGGCCAAATTGAATACAAATAGCCCCTGGGAGCAGTGGTTGGGATCTCAGAAGAGAGTTTAATGGCCCTTCTGGAATGGAACACCGACAGTCAACAAGCACACTCTTGCTCACAAGCACAACTGATCTGATTAAGAGGGCAGCTGTTTGCACATGTTTTACAAGTCATGTTTTACAAGGAGTTAACACATATCAAAGATGCGACCTGGAGAACAAGGAGTCAAGGGTCTGTCTCCTCAGGATACAAAGACATCAAGAACTGGAGGAAAGCAGCAGACTTTGGGGATCAGAGTCAAAGAGGCATTTCTCACCATCCTCACCAACTGCAGCTATGGCAAGAGCTCCAAGTAACTGGAACACATACAGGTCTGGACACTTGTTTAACTTTTATTGTATAAATAGAACATGCATAAACGTGTAATATACATACATATATATACACACACACATTTTCTAGTAAAATAAGAGCTGGGGACTTGGCTAAATAACAGAGCCTAGAATCCCCCAGTGAGAGTCTGGGGTGTGGCTCAGTGGTAGAGCCCCTGCCTAGAATCCCCCAGTGAGGGGCTGGGGTGTGGCTCAGTGGTAGAGCCCCTGCCTAGAATCCCCCAGTGAGGGGCTGGGGTGTGGCTCAGTGGTAGAGCCCCTGCCTAGAATTCCCCAGTGAGGGGCTGGGGTGTGGCTCAGTGGTAGAGCCCCTGCCTAGAATCCCCCAGTGAGGGGCTGGGGTGAGGCTCAGTGGTAGAGCACCTGCCTAGAATCCTCCAGTTATGCTCAGGGCATAACTCAGTGGTGGAGCACTTGCCTAATATGCACAAGACCCTGACTCCATCCCAGTCATAAAGAGATGTTTTGCCAGTTACAGAATGGAGGCTGAAATCAAAACAGAACAAAATGAATGGCAGGGACTTGGTTTCATCACACATTTGAAGCCGCAGTTAGCATTGATCATTGTCCCCAGTCTAGAGAAACACAGCCCTGAAGGAGAGAGTAACTTCCTTGCTCTGCCTGGCTTTGGGATTCTGTGAGGTACATGAGACACTGGACAGTCGGGACAATCTCAGCAAACACTGCACGATCGGGACAGTTCTCCCTCTTTCTGTTTAGTCTTTCCTTATTTTGTTTTCCCATTGACTGGCAGATCTACTCCAGTACTCCAGACAGTCGGGAGCAGACAGCGACGAAGGGGTCTGCCAGGCTCTGTAATTGGGAATTTTAAAAAAAAAATTCAGACCATAGAAATGGTCTACCCAATAAAGGCATTTTAGGCCAAGTCTGATGACTCAGGCCCAACAGGGTAGAGAACAAAAAACAATCTGACCCCTGAAAGTTATCCTCTGACACATGTTATCCTCTGACACATGTTATCCTCTGACACATGTTATCCTCCGACACATGTTATCCTCCGACACATGTTATCCTCTGACACATGTTATCCTCCAACACATGTTATCCTCTGACACATGTTGTTATCCTCTGACACATGTTGTTATCCTCTGACACATGTTATCTTCTGACCCCCACACGTGTGCCAGAGCACAGGTCCTGGTG